GCAGTGGATAAGAGGTTGTTCTGGTCTACATATTTTTTAACACAAGGGCGGCGCGTCTGGACAAAGTAAGCAAATACGTAATGCTTGATGACTTCTTTATCTTATGGAATAAATTTTAAGAGTATACCCTTAATATTATTTAGGTTATTATTTTTAACCGACTTCAAAAAAAGAAGACTTATTCGATAATTCTTTTTTTTTTTATCAGAAAGGTGGTACCTCAAGGGTGGTTCCATACTAAACTGATTTAGATGCGATTATTGCGTCATGGAAAAATTAATGGCAATTCAAAAGTTTTTTAAATATTTTAAATTTCAAGTCGGTTGTGTTTTTTGCTAAAAAAATTGTTTGTTTTTTATACGAAAAACCTATCTAAAAACTTTTAACTCATTTTTTTACATTTCTTATATTTTTACATTAAAAGTGATAGACATAACTGCATTTTGATCAAGGTGAGAATGCGCTTTAAGCGTCCATCATGTGAACGGGGTATAATGAACAATTTAATTTCCGCGCTGATTTGCAGTTATGACTAATTTATTATTGCTTATATGGGTGCTGCAATTAATTTTCTTTCCTCATTCGACCCTGATATTTATCAAGGTAAAAAATTGCGGAAAACCTACAATTAAAAAAGCATTTATACGCAACTTACAAGCTGATAATTAAAAATTACTTAAGATATACAACTTGAATATACTCCCCCTTTTTTCTTTCGCGTTAATTCGTTTCTTTATTTCTTATCTTATCAAATTTACTATTACTGGCCTGCTAGTCACAAAACGAAATAAAAAATGCAAAATTTATTCCAGACAAAGGCGAATTTGTTTTTGTTTTTTAATTCAATAGCATTTGACAATCGCAAAAACCTGCTGAGGTAAACAAATTTTTATGGGCTACTCAAGCAATGACTAATTAATTGATCAAATTACCCAATAGGGCTGGTAAAGGTATTTCCGAGGCATTTAAAGCATAAATAAATACGTACTGAGTGTAAATGTTTGTATGTATGTAATAACAATTTTAATAGCTCCTTAATTGCCTGCAAAGAAACACACCTGGAGCGAGTGTTCTTATATAAAATAATTTGGTTTAGAATTCATATAGAATTCAATTGGGGCAACAATGAGTAACCTAAGTTAAGTAAGAATTCTTTCATATTGCACATACGCCTTACATACATACATATAAGTATATAAGTATGTACATATGTATTTAAATACGTTGCATTACGTATACGCATTGTGGTACATTTTGAAGTGCATATTTTGTTGGCAAATGCAAGGTGCTCATTCGTACGTTACAAATAATTATAATTTATACAATTAAGAATACACGCAAGTAATTCGTGTAACTGAGCCGGCTAGTTGGCATGAAATACGATACAGTTATTATAAAAAGAGTGCAGGTTTGTGCATATAGGCCTTGTAAAAAAAAATTGTAGGTAAGTGTATAAAACGCAATTAGCCAGCAACAGGAACGATATGAGCTAGCAAGTTACGTAAAATTACAAAACCAATATATGTGCATGATGCACTAAAAATAGGCCTCTTTCGTATTTAACTAAATTTTATACTTTGTGGCAGCAACTGTAATTAGTGAAAAATATGCATTTACACACTAGCCTCTTGGCACAATATTTTTTTTTAATTTACTATAATTACTATTTTTAATGACTTTTTATGTAACTGTTCAAGTAGCTGGCCGAATTTTTATGTTTTTTTTTCTGTCTGGATTGCACACTTTAATGCTTTCGCATGTATGTGCGCGTGCATACTTTATAGGAGTTGAATGTGGACTTATGTTGCCCGAAAATTTCAAATGTTTTTCTTCAGATGAAAAACTGCAAAACCACTTTACGGTTCACAGCTTGAACTTCCCAATTTCGTAACCATGATTTTTTCTATAGATATATGTACAGATGTATAAACACATATATGTAAATCTTGGCCACAGACTACAGGAACTATTCCTTTAGACACTTGCGAGAAGTCAAGTCTCCTCCCGGGCACGTCAGCAGCACTGAACCATACGGACTCTAAACAAACCTTAAACCACATTCAAAGAAATTCAACTCTTTCCCTATGAATGGTGTTATTGTAGAGGGGTCATCACCAGCTGCAGAACAAAAAGGTCGAATTGCATCATGAGATCCGCGTTGCTTTGTTTGATTGAGTAGTATGCAATTTTACGTAGATGATGATAAAATCAGAAACCTTAAGGTTGCTGCGGTACGAGTGTCTCGTACTTTAGAGAAGTTGATGTGTATTACCACTGTCAGCCGATCTTTTCTAACCTGTGTTGGGTTACGTTATCGTGGCTACCCTAAAAAGGATTTTGAAGTTGGCAAACCATGGGTCGTTGGCAAACCGCAATAGAGGCTCTTTGCATCTTTCCTCATTCGAATTTAGACCGATTCTGTTGGCGTGTGTTTCCATCAAGCAGTGGTCGTACCTGTCGGAGGGGTGGGTTCTGCTATCTAATCTACACCGGTTGTGTAATGCTATCGTACACGTGGGCAGCTTAATGTGAATTTGTCACATTTAAGAGCTTTAATAGCTGACTGACTATTGCCATAGCTGACTGAAGATAGCCATATTGCATCTGCGTTAAATACCGTTAGCTCAGCTTGAAATAATGCTGCAGAAATCCAGAACCTGAAAATTTATTGTGAATGGGAGTTCTTGCGAATACTCACTCACTCACTCCCGCCTTGAGGTCTTATTTGGATACAGGTTTATGACTATGTTTTTTCCAATCGCTCTTATACTAGATTTTATGTGAAAATAAAGGTCTGATTATTGCAACTTAACGGAACTTAAGGGCTGTCACCAAAAATTCTTCTAAATGGATGTTGCTTATATTTGGACAGCCGAAATTTAACGCAGATTAATGCCACGTCAATGTCTGTTTCGTTTTTATTTTCCAAGTTCTAAGATACATTAAGTTAAGTTAAGCTGCCCTAACTAGGCTTTAATTCCTCAGACTGAAATTCAACGCGTTTGGGCTTACTACGTTCCAGTGGAAAAAGTGTAGCAATTAACTAACTCAATAAGAGATGAATGCCTAAAGAGCTATTCAGAAATTAGTTCAAAATATTTGATTACATATCGATAGTCAAACATTGACAACTCTTAACTGATATCGTGGATAAATATTGAAAACTCATAAATGGAAATTTTTACGAAATTGAGTTACATACATATGTATGTACATCAAAAAATTGCAAAATTTATTAAGTATATACATTATGTACAAAAAAATCGGTACTGTGTTTCCATTAGGATTATAAAATCTATTATACTTTAAATATTTTAATACTTGCGCCAAAATATTTGCGAAAAATACAAAGAATTTACGTGAGCTAGACCGATTTGAAAATACCTCAAAAAATTAACTTAAAAAAAAACAATAATTTCTTAAAGAGTTAGCTCAAGAAATCTGCATAAATATTATAAAGAAATTTTCGGAATCGTAATACATACGGCTCTATTCTGTGTCGGTGACAAATTCTTATCAAAGTTATTTTCAAGGAAAAATATATGACATGTTTTGAATTTGCCAGTAACAAAATTTTTGTCAACAATACAGAATTGGGCTATTAATGAGATTTCCGATGCTGGTTTTTTAACATTGTTCAGAGATTGGTATACCGGGAACTTGAATAACTGGATCAAAACTATTGCGAGTTAGACTTTTGAGGTATCACTGAAAATTAATTTGCTCGCCCTTTTTATTTCTTTGAAAATAAGGTCAATCAAAAAATGAAAGAGAAAGGTAAGAGCGTCATTCAAAGTTGAATTAAGACATGTTGATATTAAAAAAAAAAACGGGTAGTGAATGAGTTTATTTTTGCACAGAAGTAAAAAGAGTGGGAAAATATATTTCTCCTGATACCTCATAAGCCTAAATCGGAATAGCTTTGGCCCAATTATTCAAGCTTTTCTTATACCAATATTTGAAAAGAGTTAAAAAACAGCATCGAACATCTCATTATTACGATTCCGTTTAAAATATCTTTGAATATTTTTATGCAGATTTTTTAAGCTTAGACTGTTTAACAGTTTTTTTTTTTTAAGTTCTTAAAGAAACTACTTAAATTTATAAAAAAAACTTCGTTTTTGGAGGTATTTTCCCAAATATTTTGGTGGACGTATTCAAATATAACTTAATCCCAGCGGAAAATCCGAAACTTTTTATTGTGATGCAGTCTAATGTAGATATATATCATAAAATTTGCCATTTTTCGATGCACATACATATGTAACTCATTTTCGAAAAAATTCCCATTTATGAGTTGTCAATATTTGATTATCGATATGTACATATGTTTATATGTATAGCTCTGCTTTCAATGCGCTCTAAAAAAATTAACCGCGGTATGCAAATAATCGTAATTTTGTATTATCATAACAAATGAAAAAATAGAAGGCTTGACCTTTGCCCGACAAATAATTATAACATTTTACATACATACTTAATATGTAGGATATATATACACATATCGTCGTTTAAAGTACAAAGCCGCGTATGTGAGGTTGCATAAATTATTTTCTAGAGCGTAAAACACTCATATTTCAAAATGGTTCTCTTTTTTATAAAGCATCGCATTTTTGACTAGTATATTTCAGGACGAATAGATAAGGATTGAGCCAAGAGTTTGTGTAAGCAAATCCAATTTTTGGCAGCAAATGTCAGCTACGCTATTTTGCAGTATGACGATATTTTAAACGACGATATGTACCTGCAGCCTAACAATGAATTAAATGAAAACTTCAAACAATTTATGGCCTTGTCTACGCTAGTAGTAACGCTTTTAGCTGTTGCTTGCACCTCATAAAACAAACCTTTGTTATTTACTTCTTCGACGACACACATTCGATGCGCTTCAAGGCAATACGAGAGTGGCGAGCATGCAACGCCAACGATCAGTACGCTGCGCCTCCATGGCTACATATTATGTAGATATACATACAAATGCTTATATTAACATTACAATGCGACTGACTAGTGGCTTAATAGTTGGCTAAGAAGTAATAACAAAACACGTTAGTCATTTGGTTGAATGTAGAGCGTTAATAGGCATATTTAGCAGCTCAAAAGAGTTATGCACATACACAAAAAGATTAGTATATATGCATGCATATGTATATATATAAATGGAATGTATGTATGTATATTATGGTGGTCCAAACTTTTTCCCCAGCCACCACCTGAATTGAAAAATATCGAAAACAAATAGACCGATATTTTTTATAATTTACTCTTTAATTCGGTTAACGGCGCCGCCGTGCCTTTAAGTTTTTTTTAACATCTCATATAAGGAGAATAAAGTTTGCTTTAGAACTGGGTAGTCTCGGCGCAAATCGTTAAAAATAAATATTTTTGGTCGAATAAATATATTTCCCTTTAGAAATCGGCAAACTTCAAAATCCTAAAAGTATGATACATATTGAATTTTATGATTATACTTACTATTTTTTTCAAAACCGATAATCTCATCAATTGTACATACATATATGTATTTATGTACAGTCAGTCAATAATGTTTGGGTACAGCAAATTTTTTACAATACCGGCAAACTTTTTTTGTGGTTAATTTTACAACAAAAACCCCCAAAACCAGAGCTCCAAACCTTGTGCAAAATTAAAGAAAATTTTTAAGTTTTCATCTAAATATTGTACTTTTTATTTACACTTTTTAGAAAAAAGTTGAGTACGCAGATTTTTAGCCCATTCAATTTTATTATAACAAGGCGTAAGTTTGAGGTAGCGGGGACATACAATTGATTTTTAGCATTTTTTTGTTGAAGGTGTCGCTCATTTTCTCCATATAAAATAATGATGGATAATTTTTTTTTATATGGAAAAAATGTGCGACACCTTCAACAATAAAAATTTTTCCTAAAATCAATGGTACGTCCTAGCTTTCTCATACTTGAATTGAATGGGCTAAAAAACTGCATACTCTACTTTTTTCTAGAGAGCGTAAATAAAAAGTGCAATATTTGAATGAAATTTTGCGGAATTTTCTTAAATTTTGCACAACGTTTAAAACTCTGATTTTTGGTGTTTTTGTTGTAGAATTAACTACATTTTTATAAAAAATTAGCGAAAGATAAATTATTTAAAAAATAGTTGCCCGTATTGTAAAAAAGTCGATGTACCCAAAATTTATTGACTGACTGTATATGTACACAAAAAATAGTTATTTAATGCGTTCGTAACCACATCACGCACGTTTTGAAAAAATAGTTAGCCCAATTTTGGACCTAAATTTGCATGGCAACTCCATGGCCTGAAGATTTCTGAAATAAAATATTTTTATTCGTTAAAAAAAAATGTATTTTTAACGATTTTATAGACATTCTGCAAACCATTTATTTATTTTTTTTTTTATATAAAATATATGAAACACTTCAATGTCCCGCCGGCGCGGTCATATATTAACCGAGTTCAGAAAAAAATGGTTGTATGACTTTAATTTTCTATAATTCTTGGGAAACTTGATTTTCCTTTGTATTTTTTGACCACCCTAACCTACATATAAAAACATATGTAGTTCACTATTTAATGACTTTGCTTAGTTTGTCTATCAAAGCACTTGTGAGCACGAAAGTATAGCCCATTTTTACTTATTAACCTTTGTACATATATACTTATTCATGTACAAATGAAACATACACCTGTACATATGTATGAACATTCGTGTAATTATGGAAGCACACATGCAGAATGCATAAATTAATGTTTTGCGTGAAAAGTTGAAGGCTAAAATAATGTATAATGAAAACTAATACATTTTGGTTCATCAGATTTTAATCTACGAAGCAAGTTAATGATTTTCTTTATTCAACAACAGAAATTTCTCAATTCAATCAACCTATTGAAATAAAATTTTAGAAGGTTTCTTACAGCCTCCACGATTAGTAAGCAAACGAATAAAAGCTTAAAATGAATCATTTCCATGCTCTTACCCAACATATTGTTCTCTTTGGCATCTTCGCAGCGGCCCACCACGCGTATCACACCGCGTCCGGCTATCGGCGAGCAAGTCACTATGCCGCCCATGCGCGCAATGTGGGGTGGCACGCGTGGATCGTCGGTTATGTGAACGCCGCCATTGTGTTCATTGCCAGTACCAATTCCATTCAAATTGTTATTGTTATTATTGTTGTTGTTGTTGTTGCTGTTGTTATTATTATTTCCACCACCATTACCATTGCCATTGTTGTTGGCAATGTTGGTGATATCGTTGCCGAATGGACGCATTTTTATAATTTTATAATTTTTGTTTTCGTGTTTTTTTTTTGTTATCAGTGGTATCCGTTAATTATTGCGTTGTATAAAAAATATGAATGGTTGCGTATTTGATGTTGTCACTTCAAGAACTCGCTGCAATTGTAAGTCGTTTGTNCTAAATGTATGTATATCGAAAGAAACTAAGCAAAAGCCTACGCTCTGGTCGAGAGATATCAGAGCGCATGGTTGTGAGTGAAAATGTACACAATGCACATGAACGCTAGCGAGAATATACATACATATGTACGAGTATGAGGTGTGAGAAGAGGCGAAATGGGTGACTGCGATATACACCTGTGCTCACACACACACACACACACTTATTTTTAAGCATTTTCTTTTAAGCAGTATCAACGCTCGCTTTGTACTTATTTACATACAGACAAACATACATATGTATGTACATACGTATTTACGCCGCATATAAGCAATGAACTAAGATCAAAACAAAAACAAAAATTATTTATGTACACAAAGATAAAATCAGAAATAAAATAAAAGAAACGATCACGAGTCAACGAATTATTGCTGTTTTTGTTTTTCTACGAAT